ATGAAGCCTTCCGGACCGAAGGCGAAACGTTTCAGCAAAAAAAAAAAAAAAGAAACTGTCCAGATGATCTGACTGAAAAATGTTGGATGATGATTTTGTGTTTTATTATTTTGTCTTTTTAGCTGATTTCTTGTTTTTACCATGTGCTATTCATTTTACATTCCCTCAGTCAGTCCTTATCTTCAGTTCTGGTCCTCCCTCAGTCCATTTGACTCAGTCTCAGCTGTCACCACTTGTCTCATCCCTCCCTGCCTATTTTAACTCCTGGTTCTTACTGCATCATCAGTCTGTCATACTGTTGGGTTTCTTCCCTGTGTGCTCCTCGTGGTTCAGTCCTCTTGATTATTACCTGCTGCTCAGCTTTTTATTTTTAGGCTTTATTGCATCTAGTCCTTGTGCTAGTCTGCATCTTAGGATCTTTACTCTCCAATTTGTGACATGGGCTACATGCTTGTTCTTTATACCTTTGTTGTTTGCTTTTTCAATAAAGTTCTATCTTATCTTATTTTGAACCCATTGGTAAATTGGTGGCTAAGGTGTGTCATGGAAATGAATAAACACAAATCTTGAAAAGTCCCTTCTTTACTTTCACTATCTCTTCAAAACAGAAGTTGTGACTTTATTTAAGAGCTAATCATGTGATTTATTTAAATTATTTAAACAAATTGAGTCGTAAGTATAGACTGAAATGTGTTTTTGTCCCCCACAAATACACAAAGTCTGTAAAACGGAAACTTTCTCTTTTGTTGCTGTGATGAACGTGTTGTTTTTAATCAAGATAAGTTACTTTCGTTGTTGCCTTCTGACCTCACGTTCCTTCCTCCTCTTTTGCATAAAAAAACAAAAAAAAAACAAAGAAAGAATAAGCTCGGTGTAAAAGCAAGCATACACTCAGGGTGGTGACTCCGAGCAGCAATGTCAAGATCAATTAGCTGTGAGAGCCATCTTCAAACTGAGTTGTAGAAAACAACTATTAATTACTTTCTGGAAAAGTCATTAAAATTCATCCAGTGGTTTCTGAGATATTTTGCTAATAGACAAAAAGACACAGATGCACGAACAGTTTGTGTGTTAGTGACACACGCAGTTGTTAGAGTGGTTGTCCTCCAACGGGAGAGTTAGATTCCATTCCTGGTAGTACGCGGTCACATGTTGAAGTGCTCCTGGGCCAAACACTGAACCCCACGTTGCCTCTGATGCGTGATATTGGTGTATGAATGCCATCTTAATCCCTGATTTATCTCAATAGAATGATGTAATGAACGTATCTGTATAAAGATCTAGTAGAGTGCTGTATGAATGTGTGTGGATGGGTAAATGAGGGCAGCACGGTGGCGCAACTGGTAGAGCTGCTGCCTCTCAGCGAGCAGGTCCTTGGTTCAAACCCCGGTCCAGGGGCCTTTCTGGGTGGAGTTTGCATGTTCTCTCCATGCATGCGTGGGTTTTCTCCGGGTACTCCAGTTTCCTCCCACAGTCCAAAATCATGCATGTTAGACTGATTGGTAACTCTAAATTGTCCCTAGGTGTGAGTGAGAGAGTGAATGGTTGTTTGTCTCGTTTGTCTCTATGTGTCCCTTTGATGGACTTGCGACCCGTCCAGGGTGTACCCCGCCCCTCGCACAGTGATTGCTGGACATGGGCACCAGTGACCCCCGTGACCCAAAATGGAATAAGCAGGTAAAGATAATGGATGGATGGATGGATGGGTAAATGAGGGTGCAGATTGTGTTGTGAAGGCTTGGAGTAGCCTGGTTGGCTATAAGGCACTATTTAAGTACAGTCAATTTTAAACATGTTATTGCCTACTTTTGCCTTTTATCATTGGGTGATAACTTTAATGTAACTGTAACTTGAGTAAACACAGAGCAGAGTTTAATAAATAAAGTTAAAAATGAAAACTATAGTTGTTTGCTGCAGTACTTCGGTGGTGAAGCGGTCTTGTAATCCCGAGGCTGCAAGTTTGAGCCCAGGTTGTGTCAGGAAAAGCGTCTGGCGTAAAACATTTGCCAAATCGTTCATGTGAGTTCATTCATTGTGGTGACCCTTGCAAAAGAGCAGCCGAAAGAAAAACATGAAATTAAAGTTGTTGACATTTTTTGTCTCTTTGTATTTTTTTCCTCAGTTATGTGTGAAGGGTTCTCATCCCTTAAAGCTCAGATGTCCTGTGGTCATGCAGTGACCCCCATGTCTCTCACCAACTGGTGTCTCAAGCTGCTGGAACAGGTACTGTCAGCTAATGAGAATTGTTTTAAGGACTTATAATGAATAATTTTGATCTTTCAACGTTTTAAAGGGTAGTAGTAGATTTGTGTGCGGCCAGTTTGGTTGCGATGCTGAGTGGTCCTACGCGGAGGTCCGTAAGATGGCTCTGCTGACCCCTCAAGAGATGAAGCACTTTGACAAAGCACTGGCCCTCAATGCTGGACAAAGAAAAGTGTGTGGCCTTTATTACATTTACTTCAAGATTTTTTCAATTCAAAATAATTTTTTTGTAAAGGTGACAATAAATCTCTCAGGTTTCACTTTTGTTTTTCTCCATCTGCTACTTCACAATGTCCTGAATGCAAGACCCCAGCTGCAAGACAGAGTGAAAATAATCTTTGTGTCCCCTGTCAAGTCTGCACAGCAAAGAATGGACACACCTATGAGTTCTGCTGGCAGTGTCTGAGGGAGTGGAAAGGTCCAAAGCCTTGCTCAGAGCGCTGTGAAAACATCGGCTGTTGCAACTCAGCGTTGGAAACACTGATAACCTGCCCAGATATCATCTTTGAGTCTGTGGTGGGAGTGAGAGGGTGTCCCTCTGTCCGAGCCTGTCCCACATGTGGCTCACTGCTAGAGCATAAACGAAGCCACTGTAAACACATTAGGTGTCCTCGATGCAGGCTTGGCTTCTGTTTTGTGTGTTTGAAGGCTTCTGCTGAATGTTTAAAAACAAGTAGTTATTTTGAAGCATGCTCCTGTGGTGTCGCTCCCAGACAGACCTCTGTACCTGTGTGGAAAAATAAAATAAATCTTCACTAACAGACCTGCTCAGATTGTTTGATTCAGAATGTGCTTTAACAAGAAACAGAGACTTCCTGTATTTTTGGTGTGTGATCCTGGAAAACTGGAATACAGTTTTGTAACTGCCTGGCTAGCTCAGTTGGTAGAGAGTGAGACTCATAATCTCAGGGTCATGGGTTCAAGCCCCATGTTGGGTGCCAAATGTAGTAGATATTTATTACGTGATACTTTTAATTTTGACAACCTCGATTCTGATTGACGGCAAAGTCAGTATTTATTGTAGAAAACACTGTTTAACTCTGAGCAGCACAAGACCAAATGGAACCCCCTGATGGGATGTCCTCCTACCTTCTTTATACTCCCCTGCTTACGTAAATATTACTGCACAAGTACACATTGTAGTGAACTAAGCCTCCGGTCAAGACCTGCCTCTGAAGACCTTCATGGGATAGGAACTGTTATTTCATTGATTTGAATCCAGAAATACAAATTAGCTCATACAGAGACTTTCTAATTGTATCCTGAACTAATCAATTGAAAGAATACTCTCTTTTTTATATTATCATTACTATTTTACAATATCTTGATAATCAAAAGTGTGTTTAGTTCATACCATTTTAAATGTTGAAATGAACCACTCATTTTAAATCAACTGTGAAACAGTATTAATGATTTTTAATCCTCATTCAAAGTAGAAATCAAGTTAAATGTCTGTTACAAAGTAGTTATGCATTTCTGATCTTCTGTCTGAAATGAGAGAGTGATGTTGGTCAAAAGTCAGAGACAGTCGCAAACAAGTTTATTGGAACGAACTGTCATGTTTTTAAACTTCTCGGACAGAAACAAGAAAACTGGCACCTGTAAGTCTGTCATTTCTCCAAAACATTTCTCTGTCTGTTCCTAAACATCTCCGCTGTTTTTCTGACTTGTAATGACCCTCTGATGTCACTAAAACCACACCCCTGTTGGTTCTTTCAACCAATCAGGACTTCCCAAAAGTGACCGGAAGCAGAACTCTTTAAAAGTCAACACTTCCTAGTTCCAGAGAGAACAGAAGTTCCAAAAGTTGAGAACAGAAGTTCCAAAAGTTGAGATCAGAAGTTCCGAAAGTTCTGAAGTGCGGGAGTTAGTTGGGAGTTCTTCCGAGTCTAGTTGGGATTATGGAATGACCACATCTGAGTGGAACCGCTGACGGACTCACAGCTCAAGTGAGTCCACCCGGGAGGTGAGCGTGTTGTTGAACGGAGTACCGTCACTACTTCGGACGATTCTCAGCCATCCTAAGGAGACGCTGAAAGGTAGCGTTGAAATGGAACTCCTTACCGGAGCTGACCTATCTTCTGCAAAGGTAACGAGTCGCTTCACTACCGAGTGTACCGAGGCTGAGCTGGGATCGGATGGAGGGTGCTGTTCCTTGCCAACACACTTTCCCTCATCCATCTTTTCCCTCCATTTTAACTCCTTCATTCCCCATCTTTAAAACTCTTCTATCTTGCTATTAATTAATCCAGATATCTTCAGAAATGTCTGTTGTTTTTATTAAGTAAAACGTGCCAAGTTTTATTAATCAGAGCCGATCAGTATAATCAAGTGTACAATGTTTGATGTTAAATTTTGATTCTGTTAATAAATGACCACATTCATTTTGATGGGTCAAAGAAAAGTAACGTCTCATGTCACTGATTAGACCATCTCCCACACAGTACCTCTGTCACATTTCTGTCAAGTAGCTCGAAAAAGTGAGAACCCGTTATTAAATATTGATTGTAGTGGAGCTCTTAAGCTAACTGAAGCTAACCTAGCCTTTCTCACTACAACATATAAGCTGTTTTTGCCAAAAGTTGTCCAGTACAAAAGTTCTCTGGCTATACACCCAGACATTCTGATGTCTGGTTGGCTTCCTGTAACATAAGCACATTCTTTCCTCATCCAATAAGATAAGTTCAATTTGACCCAAACCGATTTCCGTATTCCTAATTTGGCAACATATTGAGGGGCCCTGTTATACAAGTGATTGCTCCACACATTTCATAAAACTCTTAAATCCTACAAAAACTTCTAATGGCTAATTTAAAATCATCTCTTCTTCAGCACTATAGACGGCATCCTGGTTTTAACAGTAGTTGGGGTGTTGTGTTTCAGACGCTAAACCTCATTCAGTGAAGACAAACCAGATTAATAATATCCCCAGCTTCCTTAAAACCTTGTTAGTCATAAAAAGATTGGATAGCAGCGGGATTTATTAGCTGGTTGTTCAGCTTTCAGTTTGATCATAGTTTATGGTCTCACACTTCTTGCATTACTTACAGTTTTTAAACCATTTCTTGATTCTACTCCTGACTTCAAAGTTTTGACCTATAGCACCACGAGACACTCATCTTTGTTCTTTGTCACAAACAAACTCTGTGTTTTTGGCAGCTCTGCCAGCTGGTTCTGCTGTCAGGTTCTGGAGTGATTATTGTAATGGCAAATTGGTGATTTGAAACACTCTGCAAGTTCTTACTGAAGCTGACACTCTCTCTGCTTTTAAATGTCAACTTCAGCACATTTTAAATAAATTTAATATCCAAAAAAATTGTTTGTTTATACAGGAATGTGCCAGACCTCAAAGTTTCACTTTAAATTATATTTTGCTTTGATGCTGATTCAACTTAGAAACATGCAATGCTTGATTTTTTTTGGTCATACTGCATATGCGAAGCAATCTATATTTACATACTGAAATACATAATTAAGTCTCTCCAAATGCACTCAAGAAAATTTACATTTCTTCTGTTTCTTAGATTTGTCATGCGATGTAAGTCTGTTTTATTTGCACAGCAAGTTATGTTTATCTAAACGTAACCAAGTAGTTTGTTCTGATCAAACTTAAGGTATAAATTATATAACTAAGCTGATTTGGGGCTTCCTGTCCTGTTGTTGCACATCACATTTTGTAGGTAAATAAACCCTTGATATAAAATTGAGAGGATCTGGGTGTCTTTTGTGTTTTATGATCCTTGTGTGTTCCTGCTCTTCCTCATGTAATCAGTTCCAGTTCCTGCTTCTGTCACCTGTCTCATTATCCTTCCCCAGGTGTTTGTGATCATCCCCTTGTTAGTGTCTCTATATATTCTTCGTCGTTGTGTATCCTCATTTGTCCATGGATTGTCCTCCTAAGGCTACATGTTCTGCTCCTCTGTCATCTCCCTAAAAGTAAGTTTTTGGCTGCCCCATCAGATCCGTTTTGTTTTGTGAAATAAATATAATTTACTTACTTTTACCTTGGTGTCCTGTCATCAGCCTGCATGTGGGTTCTATCTCTAAAGCAGCAACATGATAGAATCCACAGACCACTACCAGAACCCAGCAGGTTGTCTGATCCTCACGGAGCTCACTCGCCCCCGAGGATCATCAGTGGTTCTGGGAGGTGACGCGCTCCTATACTGTGGCCACCTCCAACGATCCCTGGGAGAGGATGATGGTCATTCAGGATATTGTAGATTAGCTTTTCCGGCTACCTGATCTGAGCAGCATACTGGGAATGTGGGGGCTTTTTGTCAAAGCATGGACGGAGAGACGTAAGCTGAGCTCCCTTCTTCTGCCTCCTGTCACTCCAGTCTCCGGTCATCCTTGCTTTCCTTCTGAGTCATCTGTGGGAGAGAATCACCCCGCAGATCCTCCTCATCTCTCTTCTTGTGTCTGAAAGCGGATTCGCAAAATTCCAGCCCTTCTCTCTACCCTAGTCTTCCCAGATGCAGCCAGGACAGAGTGGAAATATTTGCTGCCAGGGGTGCAACCGAGTCCAGCCCGCTGATGAACCAGCCAAGTCCTGATCAGCCAAGTCCTATTCAACTGCAACCTAACCCGCCTTACTGTGTCTCCGTGGAATTCAGCTATGACGCTTCGCTGTCCTGTGTCTCCGTAGGACAACGATCCATATTTCTGTAACTGAAGTTGGAAATGCAAGAAAACCAATTCCTTACGATAGTACTAAATACATATTTCATCATACAGTTTGCCTATTAACATATACAGTAACATTAGTTTAGATTCCTCAAAGTAAAAACAAGACAATACGTTTGGCACAAACTACTGGTCTCCAGAGAGCTTGTTTCTTTTTTACTTCCTGTATCGATGTGCTTCTTTTGTTACATTACTATAAATCTTTTGTTTTGTGCTCCATCTTCTTGGAACCAGTTGCAGAATTATATGAACCTGAAGGAGCTGTTGTCAAATGTTTTTAAGACTGCTCTTACTGATTTTGAGAAGGAATCATCTGTAAATGTTTTAAGTGTGGAATCTTTTAATTTATTTATTTATGACGGAATTAACTTTCTGTTTTTGCTGTGAATGTTCTGTAACCTCTGCGTGCTGCTGCCAGTCTTGGCCAGGATTCTTTTGCAAAATAAATTTTTTATCTCAATGAGATTTTCCTGGTGAAATAAATGTTAAATAAAATAAATTACTTAGCAGTTGCCAATTAGATTAAGTCTGGAAACCACCTAAAACACCAGCCTTGGCATTTCTGTTACCATAGCAGCTGTTTACACTTTGGATCTCATCTGGTACTTTCTGCTACTTTAATTCTAGAGTCCAAAAGTGCAATTAAACTTTATCTTAAGAGCGCTGCCATTCCAAGATGGTAGCACGACGGCTCAGAGGTTAGCACTGTTGTCTCACAGCATGAAGGTCCTGGGTTCAATCCCCGGTTGGACCTGGGGTCTTTCTGTGTGGAGTTTGCACGTTCTTCTCGTGCTTGCGTGGGTTTTCTCCTGGTACTCTGGTTTCCTCCCACAGACCAAACACATGCATGTTAGGCTGCCTTCAGGCTCAGGTCTCCCTTGCAAAAGAGATCTTTGATCTCTGAGATTTGTCTGGTTAAATAAAGGTTAATATAATAAAAGTGGAGCCATAAACTAATAAGCAAAATAAAACTGTAAAACTGCTGCACATGACCCTGAGTTATTTTAATCGATAAAGAAAACTGAAAGTAAAATTTAAAAGAAGGAACAGGTTTGGTGTTTTCTGGTTACGTC